TGATGGATGGCCTCGACTCGATTTCAATCTGGAATTGGCTGAGGAAGATCGCCCACTTCACCATTCGTGAGGAACTGGTGGGGCTCCGCATGAGTGCGCCAAGGGGTTGCTAAGTTAAGACGTGGACGGTGTGGGTCTGGAAGTAGTGCCCTAGCTTCTTCACTGTGTGGACGATGGCCAGTACTGTCTTCTCAATGGGGGAGTACCTGAGCTTGGCCTCCCGTAATGTCTTGCTTACGTAGAAAACTGCCTTCTGTACCCCCTCATCCTCGCGGATGAGCACGGAGCTGATGACCGACGTGTTCACCCCCAAGTACAAGAAGAGGGTTTCACCAGCTTTGGGTTTGGAAAGCACAGGAGGGGGCGATAGATATCTCTTCACTTCCTCAAATGCTCGTTGGCCCTCCGTCATCCATTTGAAGCCATTTGCCTTGCGCATGATCTGAAAGAATGTGAGAGACATCTCGGCCGATTTTGAGTTAAACGGTTTAGGGCCGCAAGTCGTCCCGTCAGCCGTTGTACCTCCTTCACATTTCGTGGTGGCTCCATATTGACAATGGCCTGTATCTTCTCCGGATTAATTTCAATGCCCCTTCGGCTGACCATGTAGCCGAGGAACTTGCCCCCTTGGACGCCGGAGGTGCACTTCTTTGGGTTCAGGCGGAGCTTGAATTTTTTCATGATTTCAAAGATCTCCCTGAGGTTGTCGGCGTGGCTGGTAGATTGCTTGCTCTTGACGATCATGTCGTCGACGTATGCCTCCATCGTCCAGCCGAGGACTGCCCTGAAAACCTTGGCTACCATCATGGTATATGTGGCGCCTGAGTTTTTGAGCCCAAAGGCCATGACGAGGTAGCAGAAAATTCCCTCTGGGGTCATGAAGGTCGTCTTCTCGGTGTCATCTTCATGCATGAATATCTGGTGGTACCTCCTGAAGGCGTCAAGGAACGACATCATCTCGCACCCCGCCATCTCGTCCACCAATTGATCAATGTTGGGGAGAGGGAATGGGTCCATAGGGCATGCCTTGTTCAGGTCAGTGTAATCAACGCACATTCTGAACGTCAGTGGCTTCTGGGCAAGGATGACGTTGGCCAACCAGGTTGGGTACTTCACCTCTTTTATGTGGTTGATTGAGAGGAGCATGTTAACCTCCCCCTTGACGAAGTCTCGTCCGTCGGCCGAGAGGTAGCGCCGCTTCTGCTTGATCGGCGTGGAGGCGGGGTCGACTGACAGCTGGTGAGTGATCACCTTTCGGCTGATGCCAGACATATCATCCGGCCCCATGCGAAAATGATTGCATATGACCGCAAGACGTCGAGGATGCTGTTGCGTTGATCCCGTGGGAGTTGTTTCCTGATTTTTAGGACCCGCTCCGGTCGGGAGGTATTCAGGGGGACCTCCTTGACCTCTTCGGCTGGCTCGGCGTGTGGCCTCTCTTCGTCTTTAGTGATGGTGTCTACTCTCTGCCCGTTATTAGCCGCCGGCTTTGTCAGCTTCAGGTAACATGCCTGGGCTATTTTCCGGTTCCCCCGGACGTAGCCGATACCGCCGCTGGTAGGGAACTTCAGGCACAGATGTTTCATGGACATGATGGCCTCCAGATCCTCTAGTGTTGGCCGCCCCCATATCAAGTTGTGGGCGCACTCGAGGTTGACCACCATGAATTCCATGTCAATCTTGGTGCGATGGGAGCCGTCGTCGACCTCCACGGGGAGGACTATCATGCCTTCGGCGTCGATAGAGTCCCCGGTGAAGCCGGACAACAGTGTCCGTATCGGCTTGAGCAACGCTTTGTCCAGCTTTAGCTGCCTGAAGGTGTCAATGTACATGACGTTGACGGAGCTTCCTGTATCGATGTAGGTGCGGTGGATGATAGAGTCACCTATCTCGCACCGAATGACGAGGGCCTCCCTGTGTGATGTGGGTCCCAGGGGCAGATCCTTGTCAGTGAAGGTGATCGCCTCCGTCCGCTGCTTCTTCGGCTGAGGGGAGCGTGGGATAGCTCCCCAATGTAAAGGGATTGGGCTCATTTCTTGCTCTGGGTGGCTGAGCCCCCCCTTGTATTACCCCCCACGATGAGGTTGATGTGGTTCCTCTTCGGGTGGGGTTCTTCGAAGTCTTCCTCGTCATCGCTGAGTCTGCCGATCTCTCGCTTCTTCGTAGAGGGTTCGCCCCCAGGCTTGCCGGTGTTTACCCACGTATTCTTGCGTGGGCCACCTTTAACAAACTGGGAGAGTTCCCCCTGGCGAATCAACTTCTCAATGGCTCGCTTCAGCGTGACGCAGTCGTCTGTGTTGTGGGAGGTGTTCCTGTGATAACGGCAGTAGGTGCCGCCCTGATGGACGACGTAGATCTCCTTGGCCGACCGAGGATCTCGTTCAATGAGATCGTGTTCCTCGGCGTTATCGAGGATGGAGCTGACCGAATGAGTGAGTGGGGTCTTTGGCCTTTCCAGCCTCGGCCGCCATACGCAGTCCTTTTTTTTTTCGCTGGATCCGTGGCGGCCCTGTCCTCCGTGACCTCGGTCACCGGCCGAGGGTGCGCCTGGAGCTGGCGCGGCGTTTGTCTTCTTGGAGGGGTGGCCTCCGTCCTTCTTGTGGCTGTGGAGCTCATCGACATCAGCGTACAAGTTCCCTCGCTGAAGCGCCTTCAAGTAGGACCTCGGTGGGTCAGTGATGAGGCTCCTCGCATATGGGGTGCTACAGAGGGCGCCCTGAAAAAGAACGAGGATAGTGCGCTCATCGGCCCCCTCGACCTCATCGGTCTCCCTCGTCCATCGGTCGTTGAATGACCGGAGTGACTCGTCATGTTGTTGTTTGACGGAGAGAAGATGGATGAATTATTTCTTCGCGCGCTTCCTTCCGGCAAAGTGAGTGAGGAAGCGCTGGGCAAGGTCTTGCAATGAGTCTATGCTCCCTTCGGGGAGCACGTTGAACCACTCGTACGCTGGCCCTTCGAGAGTAGAAAGGAACCAACGGCAGAGGTATTCGTTTGACGCGTTCACACCATCAACATATTGTTCTGGTAGCGGCTGAAGTGCTCCTGGGGGTCGGAGCGGTCGTCATAGGGCTTGATGGCGTTTCCCCGATACTTCTCGGGGATGGGGGCCGAGAGTACCCTGGCGGTGAAGGGAGTCCTCATCCTGACTTGGATGATGGGGTCTCCTCGTCCTTCGGCCAACTCCCTCTCAAGGATGGTGACCTTGTTTAGAAGGGCGTTGAAACCGGGATCCCTGGATGAGTTGCCCGCGGGCATGGCGGCCAACTGTTTGGCCTCCATCTGAGCGAGTCTTTGCTTGAGTTGAGCGATTACCTCGTCCTTGGGGTCCTTGGCGACCCTGACGGCCATGGCGGCGCCATACGTCTGTAGGCGGGCTGCGTGAGCCATGTTGATTTGGTGGCGTGCGTCACCCTCGTGCAGCTTACCCTTGCCTTTGTCCAAGCGGGGCCGATCCGCTGTCCGGGATACAGACCCCAAGCTTTCCCTTGGTGAGCCAGGCTCACGTTCACCAATCCGTCCCGCCATCCTCTCCGAAGCAGGCCGACGGCGCGTGTCACCTAGCCTATTAAAGGCTGAGGCTTTTCCACGCGTTGGGGCCGGTCCAGCTCGAAGTGGGGAAGCAGGGTGGGAGTGGGATGACGAAGTGTCCTGGGCCACCACCCCTTCGTCGTTGCCTAGTTTGATGGCCAACGGCGGGGGCTGAGGAAGCGGTGTAGTGTTCTCCCCCGTCCTTGGCATGAGTGCACTAAGGACGGTAGGGTTCTGGGCCAAGCTGGCAATGATGGCCGAGAGTGCGGCCTGGAGCTGGGGGTCAATGGCAGGAGAGGCCGATTGCCCGGAGACGTTGTCGCCCTTTTCTGCGCGCTTCTTGTCCAAGCTGATGCGGGCGTCTGGGGCGCCGCCGTTAAGCTTGTTGCGCAGGTCAGTGGTGAGGGCGATGACTTCTGGGAAGACATCCTCGACGGGAGCCTTGTCGGCCGTAGCGTCCTCCTCGTGTTCTCGGTTCTCTTGGGCCTCAGGGATGACCTTGCCGATGAGGTTGCAGTTAGACTTAGTTCTTCCCATTAGCAGTTAGCTGTGCTCGGTAGCGATGAAGGAGGCTAACTTGATTGTTCTATCTCTCAATGAAAGCACCAAATGATGGAGTATTAACTCCTAGAGAGAAGTGAGAGCTAGAGAGAGAAGTGCAATAATTCTTTGCAATAAATGATTTGTGAACCCCCACAACTACTCCTAGAGGAAGTATTTATAGGGCAAATGCGGGTTGGGCTCTCAAGCCTTGGACTTGGGAGGCCCATTTACAATAAGGCCTCTAATGGGCCGAAAACAAAGTGTACAGAAATGACTAAGTATACAATCCCGTTCTAGAGGCTATCTATGGCCGATGAAGACCCGGCCGACGAGGTCACCCGGTTCTCCTGGCTTCTGGATTATATTCTGAGTAGACTTCTTTCTGGTCGATGGAGATCATCCAGCCGACGGGCCCCCCACCAGGTGATCGTGGTACCTCCTGTTCTTCTGAGTATGTGGGTCCTGGGGCCTAAACCCATATACTCCATCAGATGTTATGCTTATTTTTAAAATGTCATATCAATGCATATTTCAAAAGTATCATATTACATTACTCGCATATTGAAATTAATGGGAGTGGATTATAGATATAATTTAATACTTGTATGTTTTTATAAAAGAAAAAAAAAGAAAAAAAAAAGAATTAGAAGATATAAAGCAGAGATCGTGATACTCATCGTTAGTCTCTTAATACTCAATAGAATATGTCAGATGTTCACTAAAAGTACATTATTGCTCATTTAGCGGAAGACATGATTCTTCGTTTAAATTACAAAAATGACATTGAATTTTTTGGCTTGTATTAGTTATTGGGCTGTCTTCCTTAATTAGGTCAGGTGTACATACACCCGGATATATGATACAAGGCACAACAATTTAGAGGCTATGAATAGATTTACCTTTGTTAATATAGGCATAGGTTTGATTATCAGCCCAAAATTAATTCCCAGCCCAACCAAAGCCTAATCCAAGTGTCCAGCTATTCCACTAACCCGCTCACCTGCGGCCTAGGCCTTATGCGAAGATAGAAGAACGGAGGTCGAAGAGGAGCCTGGCAGCCTGCGACGAAACGACTCAGACTGAAGACGCTGTGAACTGCGAACACCAGCCGACCTGCAGCCACCAGCCGCGGCCGTCCTTTCTCTCCGGCTCTCCGCTCTGCCTGTAGCTCCTGAGCTCAAGCCTCTAGGTGACCAGGTATACTCTAGCTCTGAATTTCTAATACTCTTTTAGACTTTTAGTAATTGAATTTTTCAGGGTTATTGTGTATTGCTATTTTTAGGGTTACAGAATCGATTTGATTATTAATTGAATTTCTCAGTTCATAACAAAATAGTGTTTATTCATTATAAATTTATAATGATTAAAGATATAATTAAAGATTAGAGAATGATTTATTTATTATACAATTGAAGAACATAGATTTATTTATTTATTGTGTGGACATGTACGAAAGAATTAAAAATTTCAATTGAATTTTGAAATTGGGAATACTTATTAGTTTTATATGCAACTATTGTTTTTTCTTATTAGTTTTATAATTTTATAGAAGTATTTTAATTCATTCCAATATTCAAAATGTTTTGTAGAATGAATAATGATTAATGAACATATTGCCAAGAAAGGAAAGAAGTTGATTGCATCATTCTTTCTTAAAGTGAATGGTCAAAGTGGTGATGGGAGTTCTGAATCTATACCTACTATAATGCAAGATCTACACAATGAGGTTCCTCCACAAGACCAAATCCCTGAAATTCAAACTATCTCAAATTTGGAGCTGTCACCATCCTTTTGCATTAATAGATGTAGATTCTATATTATTGATGAATTTTATACTTTGAAGTCACGTCGGACACAACTTAAATGATGTTTTGATGAATATTTAAAGTGTTGATGATTTTATGTGTTATTATGTACGTGTCTTCAAATTTTATTTCTCAGCCCACCCATTGTAGATTTCTGGATCCGCCCCTGGAGACGTCGCTGCCCCACTGGCCGCTGGATGTTGTCCGCCGCCGCCTGCGTCTACCTTGCTCACCGCGTCCAGCCGTGCCGCCCTTGCCTGCTGTCCTGCTCCAGTGCTTCACTCTACCGGCTACTCCACCTAAGTCTAAGTCTCTCTCATTCTGCCTATCATATTCTCAAGAGTCAGCCGTAGCCCGTAGGTAAGTTACTAAGTTTTGTGATTTTTGATTCAGTTTTAGTTACTAAATTGTGGTATGATTTTTTACTTTCTAAATAAATTATTAGGTTATAGATGATTTCATTTGTGAATTGAAAATTAGGGATTGTAAATTTCTTTACATAAGAACATATTAATATGAATTATGTCATTGAAAACAATATGTTGATTAACAATTGATATAGGTATTGCTACACATGCACTTCTAAATAGGCAAAAAGAACCTTGCATTCATTTAGTCCTATGTTTGAAAAATACAATCTACAATTATTTTCTGGAATGAAACACGTGAAGATTGAAATTCGCAATAAGATGAATGATGAATTTGTTGCCAAGTGTCATAAGTAGTGAATGGCGAGATATGGCATGCGCCATATGCGCCATCGCCATGAAAAAGTGGCCGTCGCCATAGCACCATATGTGCCATTCGTATATGCGCAATCTCCATGTGCCATGAAAAATGACTTTGAGCCATGGCGATCGTTATGCGCCATGGCAACTATGCCGATCGTTTATGAATCTTATTGAAAAAGAATTTGCCAATAAAATCGATGTTGAATTGGTCATTGATGAGTTTGCTAAGGTAAAAACCAACATTTTACTTTCATATATTCTATGAATCTATGTCCCCTAAAATATTGTTGCGAATTTTAATCACTATGTTTGAACTCTTTACTCGTTTACTTTATTTACATATTTTTTAGTTCATAACCACCCCCCGAAATTTGTGATTTTCATCATGGGTCATCCGGAAACAGTCTCTTTGTGCTTTAGAACAGGGGTAAGGCTACGTACATCCGACCTTCTTACCCCACTGTAGGTGTGAGCCTTTGCGGCACTGAAGTATAGTTGTTATTGTATTTATTTTTTATTTTTTGGCCCACACTGGATTGAACTGCTAGACAGCTCCTGCTCTTTAGTACTCCACAATATTCAATGCTAGTGGGACATAGAGAGGTACATTGTCATTTTTTATGGATGTTATTTTGTGTCATTTGCACCAAAACATTACTTAATATAAACAAGACGGATAACCATTTTAAGGATCAAATGGGTTGCCCTTTTACCTTTGTATTCTCCTCTTGATTCGATTAGATTGTATGATTTTTCTTGTTATTATGTATTTGTATCTAGACAAACGTTGTATTTATCTGTCCTAAATGGTTAGGTCTGACTGCCTCTTGGGTGGGAGTGAACAAAAATACCGATTGGTAAGCTTCCGTGAGTGCTAATGCTGGATTTTTCTGCCTGTTCACAGAGAAAACCTTTTCCAAATCTTTGTAACAGACTGAGCTGTAATGGTATTGGACCAATTGGGATGGGCTTGAAACATGATACGAATTATTCAACTTTCATCTCAAGCCATATCAACCAAATGAGACCAGTGCATTTAGTTTTAAAACGGGCTAACGCTAACTGGACTGAATGAGATATCTAGTTGGTAAAGTCCAGAACAGCCCCACACCTATGTCGGGGTTAGAAGATCAGGACAAAAAAATAGATGAGCTACTAATTGGGGACTTGAAAGCTAGATGACATATCAATCAAGACAGAAATGTGTTCATATAGGGTCCGAATGATTGAAAACTATCAATCAAACTTAATTTTTTATTAATTCTGTTGCTAATTTTTTATGTTTTTTCTTCACAAAGTTTATTAGTTTAATAAAAATAAAAATAAAAATATTTAAAATTTTTAAAACAAAAAATATCATCAAAATCTAAGATGCACAGAAACATCATTTTCCTTGAGTTTCACCATTTCAGAAATGTCCGAGCGTTTCCAATTGTAAAAAACGTGAGAAACGAGTGCCGGGTACTATCTTGTGAGGTTAGGAAATTTCTAAGTTTAAAATTGGTATCTTACCGAGGCTTCGTTAATCTCCAACCGGCGGACTCCTCCCCAGAAACTCTCAAATTCGTGTGTCAACATAATTACATCCTAAATAACATTAAACCCCTCAGCCTGTTCATCATATTCAAGCTTTAGCTGTACGACCTTACTGTCCTCGCTCAGCGTCTTCGATCGTCTAAATCGATCTAGGGAGTCCAGGTAATTAACGATTAATCAATGTTGTTTCTCTGTTTTTACGTACCCGCATCTCTTACATATGTAAGAGTTGGATTATTTGGTACCAATTTTGATTTCTTTTGTAATTTTGTACGGAGTAAAATTATTTGGCATTTTTTGATTTGTTTGTATATTGGATTGCTTATCACCGAGTTTGTCAACTTATTTGTTTAAACATTAAATTGCTTTCCTTTTGTAAGTAACTAAGTATCAATTAAGAGTAATATAGGTAGTGATAAGACCGATTCCTTTATTATTGTTATTAGTAGTATTGTCATATACAACGTATATACATATATTTGTATATATATATATCATTTACAAAAGTATTCCTATTTTTTGTATTTATGCGTTTCCACCACGTTTCGTTTCCTATAATTTCTAAAAATGCCGTTTCCCGTGTCCGTGTGAGTGTGCAACTTAGATGAAAATTTAGGTCATAGATTGATTGGTTTCACTGTTTCAGTCATTCAAATTTTAGGTCTTATATCGATACATTTCATCTTACCGGTCCCTTATTGATAGTTCATCCATGTCCCATGTCCTAGATTGATAAAGTTCCATTAATATATGATCAATAATATTATATCAAGTATTTTATATCTTTGTTATATGTTCATGGGATGTTTATAATATATTCTATCTTCAATGCTTTTGTAATTAATTTCATCTTATCACATTTTTATGTTATACAGTTAAACATAAAGTTTTTGTACATAAACACTAAAGTTTGATGATTCTTTTCCAAAGTTTCAATATACTTTTCACATTTTTATCTTTTGCTGATACGGGATCATCACATTGGTCGATATTTACACAAATTAATCTAGTGTTGTCAATCCCAGATAGCGATGCGTAGCGGCCAACCATGACAACGCTATAGAGGTATAGCGGATAGCGGGATGACAGCTATTTAGACAATATATATATACACACACACACACACACACACATATAGGGAGCGGTTCTAATAAGAACACTCCTTATTGTAAGAAATGAGAACAAATCTTAACCATACATCTTAGTAAATTAAGGGTCATAAAAGGATGAGATGTACAGATGTATGGTGGGAGTGCAAACATTAAATAAATACTCTTGCACTTTCTAGTTCATACGTAGGTTAATTAAGGGCACTAGAGTAATTTTTAAAAGTCCCTTAATGTCATATCGTTGGAAGCTTATCACTTACCAAAAAAATAGGAAGATATAAAAGGTCAAATCATATAAAAATGTTTTAATTTTAAAATTGATTCAACTTTTAAAATTATAATCTGATGTTAACAAAAATTATATCAAATTAAATAATTTTATATTCTCTTTCATATGACACCAATATGTCATATATAATTTTGTTTTGTAAAAAATAAATATAATATATGTATACAACCACAACAAACATCTTCAACTACCACATGCACAAGAATATGTATCTGACACACAACCACTAATATCTAACACACAATGCGTATAAAAAAACTAAAACAAGTATCTTAAGCACAAAATCCAATATTTAATGCACAAAGAATAGTATACGACACACAACAATAAAAAACTAATTAATAATCAACGCTCAAGGATTTCACTATGTTTTTAAAATGTTTTTAGTTTAAAATGGATTTAACTTCTAAAATTATGATCTGATTATAACAAAAATTATATCAAATTAAATAATTTTTGATGATCTATTATATGACATCAATATGCATATATAATTTTTTTAAAAATAAGTATAATATGTATACTATGAACCACAACAAGTATCTCCAGTTATTGCGCACAAGAACATGTATTTAACACACAACTACAAATATTTAATGCACAAGTACTAGTGTCCAATGCACAATATGTATGACAAACACTAGAATAAGTATATTAAGCACAGAACTCAATATTTAATGCACAATGAGTAAGAATTAAGTAATATCCTACCAAGTATGTCATGCACAACAACCGATATCCAACACACAACCCTGAGTATGTAATGATTATGAACCGGCATCTAACACACAACCTATTTATGTAATGCACATAAACCTGTATCTAACTCACATTTCATATATGATAATTGTCCATTATAAACAAATTATGCAAGTTATGCACATTAGAATAGGTGTGTGCATCACTATATGTTAGTTGTGCACTATAGTCAATTGTGAAAACAAATTATTTAGAAATATTGAAAAAGTGGTCTTTGAAAATAAATAGTGCACATCATTATTTGAATGCACGTGTACTATTTTTTTTTAGTTATCATCACAATATAATTAGTGATGAGACAAGATAACAACACAAATATTTTACTTCAAAGGATTCAAGTGAGTACGTGAGAAATAAAAGGCATTATTTAATAATATATGGAATGTAATGATTGCATTAGTGGGTTGTTCAATCAAGAAGGTATTAATTGGCAACGGCAGTTACCAAAATTAGTTTATCGTAAAATACCTAAATAGCCTTTTGTTCAATCAAATTGAGTTTACACCCATATAAGTTAATGAATGGTTGTGATTTGTTCTCACTTCTTACGTTAAGGCTTGTTCTTATTTGAACCAAAATCTATATATATTCATATATGCAAAATCCATATTATATGTATGCATGCAATTACATGTCATGTACATATCAATCCCAAGAAATGATAAATCACAAATATATTACTCAAATGTCTTGAAATTTATACTTACTAAATTACCTATAAAGAGGCATTAGAGTTTTAAACAAAAGAAACAAATAATTTAAAACTTGTGTCATTAAAAATTCTTGGTTGTTGGGATGCCTTGAACTACCTTAACATGGAGCTGTGTGGTATATGTTATGTTTGATCTTGATTTCTGTTTTGAGTTTTAGTAGGATTTAGTAGAGTTAGTTTGTCCCCCACGTGTGTTGGAGGGTGTATTGAGGTTCTTTTTTATTCCAAAAACATCTAAAAGTAAAAAGTACTCCCAAATTTCCTCAAAACTAGCAGTGAAGTAGCCCTGTAAATTATAGCGCCGCTATAGCGCCGCTATAGCGCCCGCTACAGCCCGCTACAAACACTATTCTTCCCGCTATAGTGCCCTCGCCACAGCTGCTATTGCCAACTGCTCTGCTATAGGCAGTCTCATAGCGCCTAGCCCCCGCTCCGCTATTCTGCTATAGCGCCGCTTTAGCCTGCTATTGACATCACTGAATTTATCCAGTCATATGTTCAGCCTTATATATATAACTTGTCAACAACCCTCATATTTAGGACTTTCTAGTGGCCTTGGAGTCTGGTGTCCTCAAACATGGATATTAATGGAATTTATAGTTCCATAATAGCAGATGTTTCCTCAAATGAAATTTAAAAGATTTTATTCAATTCCAGCACCCTCAAACATTCCATAGATTTTATTAATTTTCTACTTTTATGTATTTGAACAGACTTAACTGGATTTGTAAACCACAGATATGAAATAAATATTGCACACCTTTCCTTCATCTCTGTTTCTTCTCTACCTGAATCTCTCTCGCCTCAGCAGGTATGAATATTGCTTCTCAGCTTACCAAACAATTTCGAATTAATGAAGTGATACAGTAATTTCTAATTTTCTGTTTGAATCGCATATTGAAAAATTTCTGTTTACCTTTCTAAATTTAGTTTGTGAAAATCTATCTGCTTTACCAACTCCTTTTCCATATGAGTAGTGTTTTATAGTGGACCACATATACATAATTAACTAATTATGTACTATTGGCTCAACACCTTAAGCCTTTGTTACCATGTAGTTGTTGTCGGCCAACTGTTTTATAAATTTCCTAAGACTGCATTAAATTTGTGCAATCTGCTTATTGGGATGTCGTAAAACATTGTTCCTAGATAAATTGCTGACATATCTTATCTATCCATAGATTTTGTTATTTGGTTCTAGACTTCATTTGAATGATTAAATATTTAAATTTTTTGTTGATCATAAAGTTATATTTGAGGACAATTCAAAATCTACTATAATCCATTAAAATCACATAAGTCTATGGTAGAATTTGATAGATTCTGTAACATCAGTTTTATTATGATTGAATCTGTAGATTCTGTAAAAAACTGAATTTATAATAAATCTTTAAAAATACTTCAAATTTTGTGCCGGGGACACCTCCTACCGGGCTACCCCTAAGTTCTACAGTTCTACCCAGAGGCTTTATATACATTTTGAGCATGTTGTGAATAAGACAACAACGAATTCATCTTTTTTGGCACATGGTGAATTGCAGGATGAGATTTATTCAGGGCATTTTGTTTTATGTCGATGCCGGGGTTTCTCGTAAGCTGTGTACTCCTCAAGTTATCAGGACCTTTTCTACGAATCCGGCATTTGGTCTGTACTTAATTTTAGTTGAGGTCTATACTATAGCAACCTCATGTTTCTATATTCGGGGTAATAAATATATTTTGTTTCTTGGTACAGATAATAACAATCTGAATCAAAGCTCATTTGAGTCTGCCAATCACTCTGAGCAACGGCCTTTTGGTGACACTTCTAGGAAATCACCAACTTTTGGACCCTTTTACCAACACTTCAGTAGGGCTCAGAGAGACAACAAACCTTCAAATATGGGATATGGTTTGTAATGATTCTTTATATTGTTTTAGTTATATTTTGTTGAGGTCTTCATGAATTTCATGTTTCTTGGAACTGATAATAAAAAACATAATCAAAGCCCACTAGAGCCTCCCACTTACTCAGAGAAAGGCTTCTGGGACCGGGAAAGCACCAAGCTATAAACCCTTATATGTTGCACGGAAACGTGAGAAACATGAAAAGGGAAATATCATCTTCTAATAGAAAAAATAAGTGTTTGCAGAGTTTCTAAAGACCAAAACGGAAATGTGCTAATAACCGATTGTTTCTGCGCTTCATAGATAAACCCTTTTACCATAACCGCGATAGGTTTCTTATAGATCATAACTCTTCTAATATTGGATATGGTTTGTATTTATGTTCCTTTTTTGTCAAGGTCTTGATTAATCTCATGTTCCTTTATAATAATTATAAATATACTTCTTTTTTGTACAGATAATGCCAAGCTTAATCAAAGCCCATTTAGGTCTCCCAATTACTCTGAGCAACTGCCTTTTGATGATTCTATGAATACAGGATTTGGTTTGTACTGTTTTTAGGTCATTAGTTATAATCTCATTTTTCTAGCAGTATTCATTATATTTTTCTTTTTCTTCTTGGTCCAGATAGTAAAAGGTTTAATCAAAACTCGTCAGAGTTTGGAAGTTACTCTGAACAACGACCTTTTGGTGACACTATTGGGAAAACACCTGTACATAAATCATTTTACCAAAAACTTGATAGGGTTGAGAGATCTTTCCAGGGATCCCATGTCAGTTCTGAAAATAGGTCATCATATTTAGACGGTCTGGATGAAAGCGTTAACACATTGTGTGATGGAATGGATAGTAAGTTGAAGCAGGCCGCTGCGTATTTTGAGTTTGACCCTGATGAAGTTGAGAAAGAGGATTATTCTTTCCGAAAGGACATCACTTTTTTCCCCGGAAGTACTTACGATATCAAGGTAGCACATGGCATATTGATGTTACATTTTCTATATAGAATTTGCGATAGGTTATGTCATTTCAATTGACAGTAATTCTTTGTTGGTCACATTCATGACATCTTTTTTCCATTGCTCAATTTAGGACCTTGATCTTAGAAAACCAGGAGTACAAAAGTCATGGAAAAGGCCATCGTTTCAAACAACAACACGAGAAGTCTTGGAGAAAGCTGATTTCAGAGTGAGTGTTAGTTCTGTTTTGTTTTAGATTGCCTTTTATGGTTTATTGTCTGGTAGTATCTCACATGTTTCAATCTCTGATTTTGATTTTGTTCCATCTTTAAGCCGTTGTCAATGTTTTCTCACTTTATGATAAAATTGAGCTTTTATCCTGCTAATAATAAATTATACAGATTGATAAAATTGGTTATATAACACTGGATAAGTTATTTTTCAATATGATACAGATTGATTATACTTCGATATGATAAGTTATCTTTCAATAAGTTATCCTGCTAATAATAAATTATACAGATTGATAAAATTGGTTTTATAACACTGGATAAGTTATCTTTCAATATGAAATTGCCAAACTATTAACCCACTTAAATTATGTTCAGAACGTCGGATTTCTTGCCAATTTCATCACAGATGCTGGAATTATCATCAAGAGGAGCAAGGTAAAGAAACGAAAAGTCATTAAGTTTTTAGTCAGATTTATTTATATCGGAGTCGAGTGTTATGAGTAGAAGTCCATCATCTGATAACCTCTCAACCCTCTTTGTTGTGTTGTTGATTATTATATATATAGACGGGAATAAGTGCCACAGCCCAAAGGAAAGTTGCTAGGGAGATAAAGACTGCACGAGCTTTCGGTCTTCTGCCATTCACCACCATGGGAACCAAACATTTCAAGTTCGGCAAAACAATGGAGAACCTCGATAGTGATTATGCATATGAGACTCACTACCACAACTTTGTTGATACAGATGCCAGTGTGGAGCCCCTAGAATGATGAACCCCTTTGGTTTTTCTTTTATTTCCTTCATGTTCTCTTTCTTTACGAACTAATTAGCCAGTAAGTTATGAGTTAAATTGTTTTTGCAGAAGAAAGTGTAATGAGTTCATGATTTGTTTGGCTTTATGGTTTTGTATCTGGAGACACTATTAAACAGCTAACGTTGTGAGTTCTGGGCCTTCAGAGATAGCAATAAATGTTATATTTCTTGTTCTGTGTAAATTAATATTATGTGATTCATAATATTGCAAGTATTATTTGGTCTTCAAGTGAAGAAAAATCAGCAACTGCAAATGTAATAGGTCACCCTAACAAACTGCGTCTGTTTGTGAAGCACATGGGTTAGGTGAATAGTTGTTATAGTTTGAAACATTCATAACACTTCACATGCAAGGATTGGTTCCGGGCCCGGGCTAACATTTGAGATGGCATGGGGTGATATTCTGCATAACAGTCTAGACTCTAGATTCTGGAAGTTTGTGGGTAAATAATACTCCCTCCGTTCCTAAATAAACTTCCAACTTTCCTTTTTCATTCGTTCCAATTAAATTTCCACTTTCTTTTTTTGGTAAAGAATTTGTGGTTCACAACATTTCTTACACATTTCTCTCTCCTCTGCACAACTCTTCACCATACAATACCCACTTTTCCTAAATTGTGTGCCAAAGTGGGTTGGAAGATAAAATAGGAACGGAGGTAGTACACTGAAACCAGAATGCTTTGGACTATTGGACCGGATCAGAATTGGTAAAGCCTAGCCCAAGCTGACATAACCATGGTATAGTACTCGTGGTCGGTGGTATGGATGGACTCGGCCCGGGTGGCCCGACCCAGAACCGGCTCGGGACTGGTACTGTTCCGGCCCGACCCGACCCGGTGGCCCGGTCAGTGACCGGTCCGGGTAGGCCCGACCCGTGGGTTTTCCGGTCCAGGCTTGGGTCACCCAAAACAAGGCCCGACCCGGCCGGGCCCAGGCCTGGTTCGGGCCAAATTTGATTTTTTTTTTGTTTTTTCAATTTTTTTTTTAAATTTTCGGGTTGGGCTGGGTATTTTGGGCCATTTGGGGTGGTTTGGGGGGTTGGGGGTGGGAGGGGGATTAATTAGGAAGAGGGGGAAAAAAATTGATAATGGGCCCGGACTCGGTGGTTACCCGGGCCGGTCCCGGGTCCACCACTCCTGAACTGCCGGCCCGCCTGAGCCTAGGCCCGACCCGGACTCGAATCCACTCCTAGTCGGTGTATTTCAAATTTTGTCATGGGCTGACATCCATGACAAAATTCCGGCGACAAAAAAGGCCTATTGGAATTTTTTATGGTGTACTACCGGTAGTTTGTTACGAATTTTGTCTGGGGTTTCATCCGTGACAAATTGTCAGGGATTTGTCCCGTTGCTCGTGACAAAATTTTCGTGAACCGTGGAAATTAGGAGTGGACTCGGGCCAGGCTAACCGGACCGCAACCGGACCGGCCCGCTACTGTAGGGGCCCAGACCGGCCCGGTGAACCGGTTGGTTGCCCGGTTCGGGCCACCCGGCCCGGTGGGATGGCGGTTCGGGCTCGGGCCCTTCAAAAGGTGAACCAGCCCGGCCGGTTCGGGCCCGGGCCTGGCCAATTTATTATTTTTTTTTTGAATTTTTTTTAAGTTTTTGGGTTGGGCTGGGTATTTTGGGTCATTTGAGGTGGTTAGCATTGGTTTGGGGGTGAGGGGGAGGGTTGGGGTTAACTAGGAAAAGCCAAAAAAAAAAAAATTGAATCGAGGTACGGCCCGGTCCGGACCCAGGGGTTACCCGGGCCGGTTCTGGGCCTCCCCCTTCATGAACCGAGACCCGGCCGGGCCCGAACCGGAACCGGTCCACCCCTAGTGGAAATGTTCCGTGACAAAGTCCTTGACAAAGTTGTCAAGGACAAAATTCGTGACAAAATTATTTTTTTGTAGTGAGTAGTCTAGATTACAGAACATAATCATTATTAAAACAGGACCAAAACCGGACCTTACCTAGAATTTTTCGTCCCCGTCTCTGGTAGGACTGTAGGAGGGTGGGAATCGAACCAAAGTTGGGATTGGTCACCCATGGTTTGGTTCTGGACTTCTGGTTTTGGATTGATCAATTGTTAACCCACTAAAGACAACAAGTTGAGTGGAATCGATGATGGTAAAAATGTTTTTTCTTGAATTTATTTCACTCCCACAACAAACCAAATCAGAGTTAAAAAGACTAGACCATGCCAGACTTTAGCAATTGTAAAATACACATAGATCAGATATTTAACAGAATAGTTAAGATCAATCCACGTTTGACTTAGACAGACCACAACGAGTATTGGAAACCCCTACTTTCATTTGGTAATGCATAAAACTTCATAACCGGCCGTTAGGGTATCTATTTTGGATAATATTGAAAATCCCTACTTTAGGACCACAAGCTCCATTCCTATAACGCAAAAGTTTTGTATGACTTCTAAAATGTACTTTCATAATAACAACCAACAATAATAGTAATAGTAATAATAACAGTAGTAGTAGTAGTAATAAAAATAATAATAATAATAATAAAAATAATAATAAAAATAATAATAATAAAAATAATAATAGTAATCATCATAATCATAATAATAACAATAACAATAAGAATAATAATAACAATAACAACAACAATAATAATAATAATAATAATAATAATAATATTCAAAGTCATTATGCTCGCGTTCTGCGTACAAAACTGCCTATGTACCATCATGATTTGATAAATACAAGTTAAGTCATAATTAGAATTTGATCATAATTAGAACAGTTGATCCTATGAACTGGAAAGTGTTTGGTGCCCCCCTCCCTCCATCTGGTCCCCAAAAAGACTGTACACGAGGACTCTTATTTCCCTGGTCATCTGTTTGACTTTTCAGGACCTTGTCTTATCCCATGAGTCTATGACATAGTCTTTGTATGCAATGTTAAGTCATTATTGATCAGAGCTTGACTGAATCTTAGCAACAACATATGTCTGTCTATCTATATAAGAACCAGCTTCACTCTCAGAAGGCTTCACATTTTAAGCCATACATATCAACAAGTCAAGAAAAGAAAGAAGAAAAAAGATGGGGATTTACTTTCATATCCTGTGGTTAATGATAATGAATGTTTGGGCAGTGAAGCCAACTCCAAACACACTAAATGAGACTTGCTTTGATGGCACTGCCACATTCATGTTGAGCTTCGGTTTGTACCGGGACAGCTGCCCGGAGGCAGAGGCCATCGTGTACTCTTGGGTCGAGAGGGCGGTTTACGACGACCCAAGAATGGCTGCCTCTTTGCTCCGTCTTCATTTCCATGACTGCTTTGTCAATGCATGTCCCCATCTTTCCTTTTGTTTCAAGTCTTAAACACATTTTGCAACTCCCTTAGTGCTTGTTTGGCTCGGGATTACACAAGGGGATACACATTTTACAAATTCATTTCTATTTGTTAGTTGTAAATTAGAAATGCATGTATTTTTCTAGACATTTTTATTCTCAAAATATATTAAACCCTATGAAGCATGTGGAGTGCGTGTTCAGAAAGAAAACTCTACAGAAACTATTTAGAAACTGTACAAACGCTTTCTTTTCAATTTAAATATGGGGTTTCCATTTCAAGTCTCTCCATGTTTCCCACATTAATTTCCATGCATTAAACTGTTTAGAATATTGTTTTGAGTACACTAAACATAATGTGGACATACTTATTTGGAAAGTGTTATAAGGATGGAATGGTTGAACTTGCTAAGTTAAGGGAAAACGTTGGATAAAATCTATTTCAACCAAATAACCAAGTCAAATGCTACTTAAGGAGGATAATCTCAAAACTCAAAAGTATTAGTTAACGGAACGGTCTTATACATTGTTTTCAATGAAAAAAGAACACATCCCATTGACACAATGTTCTTGATTACGCAGGGGTGTGATGCATCGGTGCTGCTGGATGACACGCCGAACATGGTGGGGGAGAAAACCGCGGGACCGAACTTGAACTCTTTGAGGGGGTTTGAGTTGATAGATTCAATCAAGACTGATCTCGAGTCTGTATGTCCTCAAACAGTTTCTTGTGCTGATCTTCTTGCCATTTCTGCCCGTGATGCTGTCCTTCTGGTACACTATATACAACATATTCTTTTCCAATTTTTTGCACAAATGCTTCATTTTCATGGATGATTAAATGCTCAACAATGAGTATATATGTGCTGTGATGATGGGTGTGAAAAATGTTGGGGTGACACTAATTAAAATGTTGATCATCAGGCTGGCGGTCCAGCTTGGGAAGTGGAAATGGGAAGGAAAGATAGCATTAGTGCCAGCCAAACAGGAGCTAACAACAACATTCCTGGACCCAATTCTGATGTTCCAACCTTAGTGTCCAAGTTCCAAAACCTTGGCCTCTCCCTACTAGACATGGTTACTCTGTCTGGTAATAACTCACCCACACTTTTCTTATCTTCATATCTTTCTTCAGCTTTCAAAAAAAGATCATATACTAAAGTTGAACTTGCCATGTCCTTCTGGTTCAGGTGACCACTTATAGATTTCTTGCAATTTTTATCTACTTTTCCATCACTTTTTCTACCCGAGTGCATTCTAATAAAATGAGTAAAGGAACAAATATGAGGATGCTTTACATTTTATGCACAATAAATTTATGCATACACATATTCATGTATGAGGGAGCAGGGGCACATACACTAGGGAAGGCGAGGTGCTTCACATTCAACTCCAGGTTCAACACTGGTGGCGGCACACCTGATGTCAATGTCGAGTTTCTTCAGTCACTCCAACAGCTATGCTCAGCGCAAGACGTCAACGCCACACTGGCAGATCTCGATGCCATGACTCCAGCAACGTTTGACAACCAGTACTACGTTAACCTGCTTTCCGGTACAGGCTTGCTGACATCGGACCAGGTGCTGGTCAACAGCGACGATGAAACACGTGGCATAGTTGAGTCATACATAGATGATCCGAATCTGTTCTTTGAGAACTTTAAGAGCTCAATGGTGAAGATGGGAAGGCTGGCACCGGCCCAAGGAGGAGGTGGTGAGATACGTAGGAACTGTAGAGTTGTTAACTGATTACTAAGAGTAAATTGTTGACTAGAAACTAGTTTGTTGTATGCATGCATGGCTGTATCAGTGTGAAGGTCTTATCTAGCGGAGTATCATAATTACCATTATAATTATAATAACCCAAGAATAAACTTATTGCATCAACTGTGGACAAAATTTTGTTTCCTTCCCCACTACAATTCAGGTTAAGATTCCAACTTCTATATTTAGCGCTTAAAGATAGATCCAGACTTTGCTCCCGGGCAAGACTGGAGTACTGGACAGGTCCAGACTCCAGAGACCAAACCAGTTTTCCAGTTTGAAACCAGAGCGAAACACCGCAGTGACCGATATATTCTGTTTTTTTTGTTAGACAAGAAACCAAAACCGGATAAAAAACGGCTGAGACCCATTATGATTTCGAGCTTTCGATTCCACCTTTGTCTTGACCCGAGCCAGCCAGTTTGAGTCCACATACCAGGATCATATCTACATTATCGGCTTAACCCAAACCCAATTAAAAAAAATGGTAACATCATCAAAACACCCAATTGGTTAAAAAAAGTTCAACATGTTTACTAAAAATAGGTCCAGATAGGGCCAGTCCGACGGACGGCCCAGTCTGGAACCAAGTCCGACACTGTTTGGGACTAGACCAGGTCAGGAATTCCAGTTCCGAGCCTGGGACCGGCCAAAACTAGTACCCAGTCCCGGTTCACCTATTTGGGGACCGAACCGGACAATTTCAGTCTCAAACCAGCCATTTTTTTTGCTTTTGAAAGTTGAAACGGACAAAAAAAATAGAACAGGATTGGGTCCGGACCGGGGCTGGAACCAGACTGCCAGATAACTGGAACCGGACCAGACCCGGATTTAACCGGGTGGGACCCGGGCTTCTCCTACCAATGACCAGATCCACGACCGGGAGTCCAGGACCAAGTCCAACCATAGGTCTAGCTATCAATCTATCATCGCCTTTGTTCTAATGGAATATGGTGAAGTGGTGAACTAATTAAACGACATCAAATAGTAAAAGAAAGCTAAGTGATTAAGCTTATTGTGAGAATTAAGGTTGGCTCTATATTCGGATATGCCATATATGATACTAATATATGTAAACAAAATTACACTCAAACAGAGACAACATGCCACAGCCCACAGGCCTCATTGATCCAGAGCTAACTTATTGGGGTATTCCGTATTCCTACAATGATCTAGAACCCCATGCCATTGACTAATTTAGAAGAAAAGGAAAAAAGACAACACTGCTTTTGTAACATTACATTTCACATGTCAAATTGACCATCTCAATCTCAAAACTACTTGAACCTCCTATCCATTAAGTGCAGGCCATGCTTGAGCATTGAGCCCGAGGTCTGGGCATGGTTTGTCAATCAGGCCGCATTGGATTCAGGTTCCTGAAGATGAAAAAGATGCTTCACTGGAATAGGATACGGATAAGTAAAATCTATAGAATCTTGACTACATAAATGATAAATGTCTTCGGCCATACAGCATGGCTGGCTATTGAATCTTGACTAAAATCTGAGGATTTATATTTGTTTTAAAAATCTAAGTGAGGCCATATGGCTGGCTATTGAATATTGACTAAAAATCTTAGGCTTTATATTTTGTATTAAAATTTAAAAATATAAGTGCTTACTCTTTGGCATCCATTCTTGACCAGCATGATGCCCCTGCAAATCAGCGAGAAACGTCATAAGCTTAAGATTCCATTTGGAACCCGGAAAATGCTACAAAAATAAGGAAAACTAGAGGAGAAATTTGGGAGTGTTGGCTATGTAAAAACTTTATAAAAGGGCTAAACTCAACAAAACAATTTCATATATTTTTTCACTCCTTTGATCCATATATTACTATCATATAAAGACTCCAGCATCGAATATATGTCAAATTTAAAGTAGTTGTTAGATTTGATATCTTTCATTTTTTTCCGCTGTAAAATCCCATTACCAAAAAAATTCTTAGCATTTTAAACTTTCCTCGAGATTTCCACAATCCAGACATCTAAATGATACTCCCTCTGTCCCAATTCGATTTGCAAGTTTTTATATCTTGATTGTCTCGAAATGTCATGGATCGATTCATGTTAGCTGACCTCAAAATTTTTTGGGATTAAGGCTTGGATGTTGTTGTTTTATTGTCTCGAAATGATTTATACTTTCTATTTTAGGTATGGAAATAAGAATACAGTGACAAACTTACCCTTACTTTTACCCCTTTTTCATTTACTTAAATGTCCTTTATAGGGGAAAGGGGAAAATAGTAAAGCCAAACTTAATTTATTACCTACCTTAATTCTTGTGCCACTCAACTTTTGTACATCAAATTGGGATGGAGGGAGTATGTATTTGAATTGGAAACATCATACTCCGTAATAAACATAGATGAATCATAAAACACACCAACCTGTTGGTTACGCAATGGATCAATTACTGAACCCCCAGCTACATGTTGTGAAAAAGAATGTTCCTGCAATTCCCAAATTCCAACGTCATTAAGAATTTAAGATCAACGAGAGTCATACAATACCTACCTTTCAGGAATCACAATCACAAACAGACATCTATAAACTTTGAAACATTATCCTAACCAATAAGGCAAAAAACAGTGATTTAAGAGTCCCTGCATTCCTATTTAGGAGTTTACTTTATAGGTTCTGCAGTTCTGTTGATCCTTGTTATTTTTTCATCTCGGAAACCCATGGAGCATCAATTACAATTTTCCTAGTTTACCCTTCAAAATCAAATATGAAACACATAGAAAACATGTACTCCCTCCGTCCTATTTTACCTGTCCTACTTTCCTTTTTGGGTTGTCCCAAAATAAGCGTCTCATTTCCTTTTTTGGAAAGAAATATGTGGCCTACACCATTTCACTTTATTATACTCAAATCTCAACCACAACTTTAACTTTTTCAACCACTTTATGAATAATTGTGCCAAGTCAAAGTGAGACACATAAAAATGGGGCTGAGGTAGTAATAAATGTTAGTGAGTTCATACGTGACAGTAAAGTGGGCAGCAAGATATAAGTTGTGGCAACTTTATGAACAGGCGTGTCAAGACAAAGTGGACAGAAATAGGAACGGAGGGAGTATTTTATTGTGCAACCCTTTATAACGTAATTTTATGCTCATACATATATGATATATCCAGAAAACAATAAAATTATTGTGATACCTGATTACTTCGTTGAACAGTCATTCCCGGATTTCCTGGAACCTGATGATACTGACAACAAATAGAAAATAACAACAAACTGTAGATTGAATTGACAAAACAAGATAATTTAAATTTTAAAAAATGTCACGTGAAACTGAAACTAACCGGTGAAACTTGTGATGTTTGTTGTTGCAGATGTTGTGGGGGGCGGAATTGGATCTGAAGTGGACTTTGATACTGCCCTTGCATTTGAAAAGCTTGCTGTGGAGATATGCCTTGTTGAGGATAAGGATGCATTTGAGGTTGCTGGATGGTTGGAGAAGGCTTTGTTTGGTCTTGTTGTTTTTGTTGTTGTTGCTCAAACAAAGTCAACTCATCTGGCTTTTCCCACTAAACATTTAATAAAAATATACTCAGATAATGAAAAGAGCAACAATATATTTGGTATAAAAAATAAAAGCAGAACAAGTGGAATAAGCAACTTTTAACTATTTGGCTGAAATGGATGTTACTGAAAGCTTTCCGTAAAAAATATAGCAAATTCAACCATTTCAGACAAGAAACTTTTCCCAAATGGGACCCCTAAAGCATCGTAACTAGCAGATTATTTATGATTGGATGTTTACTTTGCTTTCACCAGTTACACTGTTGTGGTAGTATTTGTATCCATCAGGTGCCGTGTGTTCTGTCCAGTCACACTTTAAAGTAGCCACGGTCTGGCTAGGAGGAGGCTGAAAGGAAGTGACTGAAGGTGATTGCTGCATTGTGGGCCCGGTCCAAGAAGACTGCTGCTGCTGAGGGGCGGCTGTTGGAGTTGTTAAGTTTTGGTTAGGAGGTGGTTGCATCATTTGCCTTTGTTGGTGTTGAAGCTGAGAGAAGGCCTGTTGTGATGAATGGAAGCTTGCCTGTAATGTTTGTGTTTGTTGTGACATCATCTGGGCTAACTGAGATGGTGATGATTGGTGAAGATGTTGAAAGTTCTGTTGAGTTGGCTGTTGTTGGTTGTTTGCAAGGCCAGATGTCACATTCTGCTGAGATGTCATTGACTGACTAACTGGGGTTTGACTGGTGGACAGGGGTATTAGTGGTACTTGAGGCTGCCTGAAAAAATCCATTGAGAACTGTGTTTGAGAGATGGGTGTTAAATCCAAGGTACCATGAGATGAACCATTACTTTTATAATCCAGAAAATACTTGGGAAATGAAATAGAAAAACAAGACATAAATTTTTGGATTTTTTGGTAGGAATCAAACATTTCGTTTTTAAGCCAAACCTAAGCAATACAAAATGACTTCACAAAACATATTTTTCGTTTCCCAAGCATTTACCTGTCCAAAAACACACTCTTAAAAGTCCAAAATAAACCTAGTCCTGAATAAGAATGTGATATCATTGTACCCGTATCCATGTATCCGCGGATCCGTGTAGCCATAGCCCTGCAACATAGCTGGATTCTGTGGCTGCAGTGAAGATGGCAAGTTTTGAGGTGAGGGAAGAGGCTTCTGAGATGGAGAATTCTGCTGGCCAACTGAAAGGTTTTGCACCAAAGGCTGGTTTGAACCCTAAATAAAATTCAAAGACGAATTTATTTATAGTACTATATTATAGTAGCATAAGGAAATAGATCTATGGAATGGAAATGGCGACCAGCGACACAAGTTAAAGAAGCCTTGGTTACCTTTTCTGATATAGAGGAAGATGAAGACGCGGTAAGCCCTGGATATGATCTATCCCCACTGCCGCTATGGCCACCCTATACAATTTTGTCAAAGCAACATGATGCTTACTGCCGATAGGATATTTGGTCCTAGGTAATAACATGGTTATGAACTCTACTTAAGATCATTATTTACTTTATACCTGTTGTGGTATAGATGCAGAAGAAACTGTACGCACAGGAAATGAATTGTCACTGCTGGCACCCTAAATTGAAAATTAACATGATAACGACATCATTGACGAGTATTAATAGTTAATTAGTACCCCCACCAGATACCTACAAAAAAGTACTTCCACTATCTAAAAAGTGAC